TCAGCGAGCCTGCTCTGCTTCCCAGCCCAACCCACAGGACATACCGGGCATAGGGAGGCTGCACAGGCAGGACAGAAACCATGGGGAATCCCATGTGTGTTTTGGGGCCCACAGCACCCCAGGAATCGAATATACAGCAATCTTTCAGGAATATGTGAGGTCCACCTCCTAGGGCTCTCATCCTCACCTCTGGAACTATGGTTTGCTCCTGTCACATCCTTCCCTCTTCCTCAGCTTCCAGAGAGTTCCCCCAGCTTCCCCTCCCCAATCCCTCACCCTTCTGCACACAGATGCTCCCACCATTAGAAGTGGGCACAGGAGCCAGTAGCAGCAGTAGGCTCTAGAAAGTTCGGGAAGACATTTTCATAGGGTTCTCAGAGCCAGAACATCTCCCTAAGCCAGTGGCAGCCATGGCGTCCTGGGCTGAAGGTCCTAGGCCTAGCTCTGTGCCCTTCTGTGACCTCACCTTCCTCCACTATTATAAACATGACATGATCTGCCTAGAAATCACTTCTAATCTATAATGCACAGCACATATCAGAGATTATTAGGAAAGGAAGCCTCAATGCTTTGAGGCCCAGGACGTGGCAGGTCTATACCGGAAGCCTGGGGTACCTTGTCCTTTACCCCAAGCAGGAAGTGGTACCTTCAAAAGTCCACATCCTTCCTTAGCTGTGTGGTCTCCCTTGTGGCTAGTTGGGGAACATGGGGCAGTTCTGGCCAATGCACTTGAACTGAAGGGACACCTGTCACCTTTCGGCCTGAAGCATAGAGTGCCAGAGTGGCTCTCCCCTCTCTCTCATCCACCCCTGCAGTGACTCTAATATTAGTCACAGCTCTGGAAGAGACAACCAAAAAGAGGGAGAAGTCACCATCAGCCTGGGTCCGTGTGACCCGAGGCCAAGCTAGAGCAGCACCAGGAGACTCGAACCTACTGTCCAACCCCTGTCATCCTGGGACTACCTGTTGTGACCGCCAATGTTACTAGCTCAAGATTGTCACTGATGCTGTGGCTCACATTTTCACAGATGATGAACCCAAGGCCTCAGAGAGGCAGGTGGCAGAAACAAGATTTCAAATCCAGACCTGGGGCAACAACACGCCCCATTAAAATCTTTCTCCCTCCTCGTTCCCATGCAGGGGGCAAAGTGGGGTCTTGGATGGTCATGAGTCCCACTCATGATCAGAAGCGCAGAGAAGGGAGCCTGGCCACATCTCAGGGAGCATTCCTGAGGACCTGGAGCTTCAAAGGTCTTGGATAGAACAGGAGGGATCAGTACTGGTTTAGCAAACAAGACAGGAGCAAAGCCCAGCTCCACTAGTGACTTAATTTTTCTGAGCTTCACTGTAATCTATAAAATAGATCAACAGCTACATCAGTCTTGCATGTGGAATTGACGATGCCCCTTATCCCACATGTCTGCCCCCATCAGGATCATCCAGGCGGCTCAGGGCAACAGTTTTCTCAGAATGAAAAGAGCCTGGCAGGTCCTCTCCCAAACAGCAGGAGGAAGCTGCCTCAGCCCAGACCACTGATAAAACCCAAAGCCTCAGACCTCAGACCAAGCCCAGCACGCATCCCTGCACAGACTGAGGGCAAAAACATAAAAAAGGGGAGCAGGCCAGCCAGAGGTGAAGCAGCACAACCACAGCACCTGACTGGAAAGTGTCTCTGAAGCGGACGCCTCATTCGGGTGAATCTGGGAGTTGTCTATCAGCGTAGACTCAACGTGGTACATAGGGTCTTCGCACTACAGCAAAGGGCGGCAACAATGCATGGAAGGGAGAGGGCGAGCCCTGGCTGACGAAACATCATCCCTTGAGTGCCAGGAACCGGGGTATTTTCAGTGATGTCAGCCTGGGCTGCCTGCCACCAGGACAGGGTTACAGGAGACCAGTCACATGACTCAGGAAGGGACCCTCAAAAGAGGCCAAGAAGGGAAAGGACCCAAGAAGCACCCAGTTCACTCTGGGCTTCTGTCCCCAAGGCAGATCTTACACAACAGCTTGGCCCAGGATTTCAACAAGAACCAAAATTGAACACTTACTATGCACTGGGCCCAGTGTTTTCCAAGTTTTAGCTCATTGCCAGTCCCTTTCAGATGGGAAACTAGGCACTAAAAGTCACAAAACATGAACAGGAATGGCCAACATTGGCACTCAGGAACTCTAACCACCGTGCGGTGATTCCTCTAAAGAAACAACAAAACTGAGTCTCACAGACAGGTGGGGACGCAGCCAAGCTCTCACAGGTGTACCTGTACGAGGTCCAGGGCTGGAACACAGGTCCGCAAACTCCTCATCCTAGGACCTCTCCACCCTCCGCACTGCCTGTCCTTGTGCACGTCCACATCCCCAGCCCGTGAACATGTTGCTGCTCATCTCCGAGCTGCCTAACGCACTAATTAGCCGAGAGATCTTGGGTGCAGAGATGAACAGGCCAGATCATCCGATAACAAGGCCCAGATGAAAGTCCCGCTCGCCAGCTGCAGACCCAGGGGCGCAGCGCCTGGCTGTGCTTCTCCGTTCCAAGAGTCTCGTTAGGGGCCCCACTCCCATCAGATGGAGCATTGATGTGGGTCCAAGGTGCCAGCCCGGGCGGCAGGAGGAGCCCAAGCTGGCACGTTAGCTCAGTGGCATCAGGTTGCAGATCGCCAGCATCATCTGCTCTGTGGGACCAAAGTGCTGGTTTCCAAGCTCCCCTCCCTTCACTGTGTCCCAGCCGTGTGGACAAATGTTCCTGATTTCCTTTCCCAGTGCTGAAGAAATCAGGCCAGAAGAGCCACCCGCTGGAGAGGGAGGGGTCCCCAAAATTTACACTCCAGCCCCCCAACACTGGCTCTTCCCAGGTACCTAGAGAGAGGAGCTTCCAGAGGGACGTGGGGCTCCTAGTAGACACTGGTCATCACCAAGGCCCTTTCTGCCTCCAAACTGCTGAATGTTTTATCAAGCCAAGCCAAAGACTATA